TTAGGTCGGGCTTCCAGAGGCCTCTGACTGCTCCTCACCCCTGATCCCTCCATCCTCAGGCTTCCCTCCACCGGCCTTCCCGGGTCCCCCTCTTCACTGAGCGCTGAGTCCGAGTCCCATCCAGCCTGTTCCCTTCCTGGCAGCCCTCCGTGAGCTCCCAGTCCTTCTGCCTCCACCTCCCCGAACAGCCTCCAGCAGCAGGCGGGGGTGGTGGGGCTGCTGCTGGCGGGGAGCAGGCGGCCCAGCCTGGGGTAGGAAGCCCCGCGATCCTCCTTCTTGTTCAGAATGGCCTGGATGGAGAAGGAGGTCAGGGTGCTGGAGTTTCTCATAGCCATTTGCATTTGGGGGGGATCTCAGGCTGCTTGGAATCCCCCGATCTCTCCAAGGATCAGATCAATGGTGAGAAGCCAGATGACAGTCCATGCAAGTCACTGGGAGGGTCATTCGCTCCGGTTATCCAGGTAAGTCCAGGAATGGGCGCAGGGGATCGCCGGGTGACGTCTGCTGTCAGCAACAAACAAAAGGTCTCTCCCAGGATCTCATCTAGGGAATGACATCTTCACACTGAGCGGACCCAACAGAGAACAGCCTGCCTCCAGACAGACAGGTCCTCCCTGAGTCCAGACAAACTGAAGAGCTCTCCGACCTTCTCCACCTCTGTAGATGTCTTCTCTGCTGAGCTGTCCCTCTTCTCTGTACTGTACAGGCTGTGATCTGGGTTGACTGTTTGCATGTAAATCGGTCTCTCTGTGTTCTCCTGCAGTTCTGTCCCTCTGTGTTTCCTTATAGATCTCACCCTATCTGCTCTCCAGTAGAATTGTCCTTCTGTGGTCTTTTGCAGATCTACCCCCCTTGTCCTCACCTGCAGATCTTTCCCTCTGTGTTCTCCTGTAGATCTACTCCCCTTGTCCTCACCTGCAGATCTTTCCCCCTGAGATCTGTAGATCTACCCCCCTTGTCCTCACCTGTAGATGTGTCTCCCTGTGTTCTCCTTAGATCTACCCCCCTTGTCCTCACCTGTAGATCTACCTCTGTCTACCTCTTTGTACCTCTGTGCTCTGCTATATATGTTCCTCTGTCCTCTCCTGTAGATCTGTCCTTATGTGCTCTACAGTAGATCTGCTCCTTTGTCTTCTCTTGTAGCTCTTTATTTCTGTGATCTTCGGTAGATCTGTCACTCTCTGTTCGGTAGATCCGTCCCCCTCCTCTCCTGTAAATATTTCTTTCTGTGCTCTCCTGCAGATCTGTCTCTGTCCCCCTGTAGATCTGTGCTCTCCTGCAGGTCTGTCTCTGTCCCCCTGTAGATCTGTGCTCTCCTGCAGGTCTGTCTCTGTCCCCCTGTAGATTTGTGCTCTGCTGTCCTGTCCAAGCTGTCCCTCTTATGCGCTCCTATACATGCTGAGCTCTCTGCAGAGGGATCCCTGGCATTGGATGCCGTCTCTGCACTCACTCTCTTCTCTCTCATTGCTCACCTGTGAGTGACAGCTGCAGCCTGTGTTCTCTGATTGGCTGGCCTTTGGAATAGGGCTCCAACTCATTGGCTAGGCAACTCCTGGGAATGCTGACCATATGCAGAGCCTGTTGAGGGCTTGTTAACCCCTAAATCCTCAGCATCAAAACACAGACTGCCATTAGTGTGCAAGAAAATAAATCAAATTAGTGATATTATCACACAGTGAGGAATTAACTAGATGAATGCCAAGAGCTACTAACCCTAAAGTCAGACGATGACATACTTACATCGCTAGTTTGTATTATATCGACCATAACGAATTACTGATTGGAGAGTGAAGACTGCTGCACTTGGTAAATAACAACAATATATAAAATACAGAAATATTCCAAACTTTTACATATATTTACTGCAAACATTTAAATACCACCCATGCACATCTTTCCTAACTCACAATAAAATCTATCTATCTATCTATCTATCTATCTATCTATCTATCTATCTATCTATCTATCTATCTATCTATCTATCTATCTATCTATCTATCTATCTATCTATCTATCTATCCGATATGTATTTATCTAGTATCGATATATTCTTTCTTCCTTTCTTTTTTTTTCCTTTCTTTCCTTCCTTTCTTGTATCAATTATATATATACATATAATACAATATTGTTAACATCTCTGAACAAAATATAAAACCTATTAGAAAAATACTAATATTACTCAACAAAGTTATGTTGCATTATACTTAGTACAATTCAGGATTATGACAGCACCGTGAGATTTGTTTTGCCGGTACATGGTCGGCTCTGACCTCCTATTCGTTAAACGCAGGATAAGTATACTTACGAATAGTGAAGAAGCAGTTTTTAGTATTCACTGAATTAATTTTTGCATATGATTGTTCTATAATATTTCGTATAGATTGTGTTAAGCTGACATAATAACATGGCATTAATCACGAGTTTGTCCTCTTCTTTTTTGAAGCATATTAGTTCTTCCTGTTTTTTGAAGGCGATGAAGATTCGCTGAATTCATTCACCCAACCAATTCGTCTCAGGCATATATTAGAATCTGTACCATTTGTGTACAGTCCCGTGTGAAGCCTTCTCGGTGGTACAGATGAAGGCACTGCTATGTATTTTTATCAGTAATCCTATACTAATTGTAAGCCCCTCTGAAACTGGTGTATGCAATCAGAGAATTAGTATCATTTATGGTGCAAGTTGCACGGCAAGTTTATTTACTAAAGTGGAATATTTGTAGGCTGTCAGAGATGGTATTGGGGTGCATTTGAGATGTTACATAGAGATATCTAAACGTACATTGGGGTTCATTTGCTGAAATGACAGACACTGTTCATCGCTAAGTCAAAGTTTACTGAGATGAGTAAATTAGATAAAATAGTATAACTTTAATAATTTATCCTTTGTACAAACAAAATACTTTTTACAGTTTCTTGCACAGGACTGAATATGCAAACCTAACACAGCTTAGTCTTATTTATTAAGCAAAATGAGCACTCACTTTGCAGCAGTGTTTACTACTTAACTAGTAAATTAACCTTAGCGTTATTTAATCCGAACTCAAATTAAGAACTCAATTTAGCTAAATGACATTTAATTACTTTATATTTTGTGTGTGTGT